TTTCCTGCATTTTCCGCGCAGTAATAAAGAGGACAGTAAGCAGCCTCTAGTTACTTTTTTACTGCATACAAACATCTTACTTACTGTATAACAAATCGTCTATACCCACATGTATTGTCACCAGATACTTAATTATATTATTTACACCATCAACGCTAGCGAAAATTTGCGAACGCCGCATGACACCCCGCGACCGTCTTGGCCACCTGAAAAAGCTTGACGTATTTGCATATTTTTATGTTTTGCCCAGGTTAAAATGACCCGAAGGGCTAATCAACAAAAGAGCAATTATATTTAACCTAAATGCTATTTAAACCGAACGATATTCATTTTAGGGCAAAGTTATCCAATAATTATAACTGAAACCTATATGGCTCGTTTATAATGATATTTACAATCTTTTGCTTTTAAATGAATAAATAAGAAAACTCGCGTCTGTAGCCCTTGGCTGCCGGAAGTGGTTTTCGCCGCAACTTCTCAGCATCGTGCGCTCTATGAGTGGCGCCCACGAGTCCGTTGTAACATCAAACTGCTTAGTCCGTTAGTTTTTAAAACATTTAAAAAAAAAAATATTTCAATGGTGATATTGACGCATGAAAACTTTTTATGTAGCGCAATTGATAACCTAAATTAGCAGCGAAAATAACTAGAACGCTAGAGCGCTACTGTTCCTTTAATTATTCATTTACTACCAAAATCGATAAAAGTAAAAACGCTGATAGATGCAAGCTATCCACAGTCAGTACATTGGATAGAATGTTAAAAACATGCTCAGGTCACGCGATTTAAACGTCCATGGCCACATGTGTGCTGCCAACCTCTCAAAATTACTTGACAGACGCGAGAATTTACAACAATCGTATTATGTCATATCAACGGCAACGAATATGTAGTCGTCTATGCGGATGCTTTCTATATCGATAGCCCGAGATACCTTTCTGAATTTAGCGCTCGAACTATACTTTTCCGAATGATATGCTTATCCCGAATATGCTTGCGTAAAATCTGAAAATATATTCAAGCATATTCAGAAAGTGATTGCAATATCGATAGAATATCCGCAAATATACGACTACATAATTCGTATCCGTTGATATGAATAAATACGATGTTGTAAAATCTCCGCTTCTTGTCAAGTAATTTTGAGACGTTGGCAGCCACGAGCTTAAAATCTCTTTGCGTTCTTCCAGCAAATAGCAGTTTGAAACGGATAATAATCGAAATGGCCTGGCAGCCGTAAGCGCCTTAAAATACACTGCACCCGGCTGTACAGCGGTGAAAGCACTTATTGTTAGTTTTTCTTCCCGCTTGTTAAGGCACAAGACGTAAAATCAGAACTGGGCGCATTTACATCACCCAAAATGCCATAGTTATGCAATTCTTAGCCGACATGACAAATAACAGTCAATCTAAATTTACTTTAGAAAAAACTTGCTCTGCAAGGCGCAGCCGCACTGTTAGCGCCAATTCGCTGGCACCAACAGCAAATCTAATCCGCGTTTTAGCTGTAACCAACCTTTTTACCAAACAAAGAATCCAAGATACTCCAAACTTCACTTGGTTGGGTTACTGTCAACTCAGACAACAAAACACAACAAATATCTGACCAATCACAATAGCAGTGCAGAACAGTAGCCCTGAAACCACCTAGCAGCGACTCAAGACAGAGTTGCCAGAAAATTGCTTTAGTTTTTCTCACCGATTTGGTGGTGCCCACAGAGGTAAATCAATACGGGTCGCACATTTACACACATTGCATGATAAATATATAGAGTTCAACTCATTGCCAGAGACAAGCTGAATCTCAATAATCACCTCATGCGCTCATGCAGGCACTTGCTCTGCTCATAAAAATGATAAAATTTATATTAAACATTTATATGCCGTCATGCCCCTCACCCCCCAAACAGCTATTATCCTTGAGTGACTTCACGGCCAAAATCTAGACTACCTATACTTACTTACTTAACTTATTACTTACTTAGCTTACCTTATACCCCATTCAACACAGGGCCTCGGATCTCACTACGCTCGCTACTACGCCTCTAAGAGCCGTGCGTGGAAACGATGCTAGAACGCCAGTCAATGAACGCTATATGGACGCTACTAGCGATCGCGACTCTCGAGCCCGCCAGGCTGCCGTCACCATGCAGCCGTGGGAGAGCGTGCGGCAAACCACTTGACACATGTATCAAAACAATCGTCGGTCGCCGCAGCGTGGCCGAAAAGAACAGCGCGCACATGCAGTGCGCCGTATTAAGCAGGGAGCGTACGACAGAGAAACACACAGCACACACCACGACACAGCACACAGCGGACACCATCAGCAACCAGCACAGCACACACACACATCCACACAACAACACACACACACACACACACACGACACCAGCAACACAACCAGAAACACACACACCACACCACACAACACCACCTCTCCTCACTCATCTCTCTCTCTCTCTCTCTCTCTCTCTCTCTCTCTCCCTCTCTCTCTCCATCCCTACTCTCTCATCGTACTCTCTCGTCTCTCTCTCTCTCCCCTCTCTCTCTCCTCTCTCTCTCTCTCTCTCTCTCCTCTCTGTCTCTCTGTCTCTCTCTCTCTCGGCTCTATCCTCTCTCTCTCTCTTCTCTTCTCTCTCTCTTCTCTTCTCTCTCTCTCCTCCTCCTCTCTTCTCTCTCCTCTCCTCTGTCTCTTTCTCGCTCGCTCGCTCACTCACTCTCGGGCGAGCTTGGTGCTTTTCTCTCCCGCTGTTCCTTTCTATACCGCTGTGCCTGTGTGCGGTTCAAATGGGGGGGGGGCATCCAAAGCGCGCATCCTATTTTGTCAAGCAGCAAAAATGTTACGCCATCGAATGTTGTGGCGTAACCGTAGAAATATATAGAGATACTAGCATATAGTCTAAATAGTACACTGTCCAAGTCAAGGCTATAATTACTTCACATTCTCGTAGGAGCAACCAGATATTGATTACAAATATGAAGGACGATGCACAAGAAATAATAAACAAAAACTAAACCCGTTGCTACGCATGATTGATACGCAGTTTTGTATCCCGATTTGTAAAGTATAAATTATAACTGTAATAATATATTTCAATAATATTTTTGTTTACGTGTTATGACATATGCACAGCAGACTTCAATTATAAGATACTCGACTAGAGGTAAGTATATTTAGGCTAATATATATGCTAATTACAGGCGAAGCGACAACTAAGTTTAAAATAGCTAGGGCATAACCATTGCTTCGGGTTGGCGCATCACTATGGAACCCCCCAAACAGGGGGCTGCTCTGTTTGAAAGTCGTAACGCCGGATTAGACAGGATAGAGTTAGGCCAATTGTAGACAGCCATGTCTACGCACGAGTCCATTGTTTACTCACCGTGTGCGGCAAATTTTCGCTTGAGGGAATTGACGCATGCGTCATTTACTCTACTGTGTGCGGCGATTTTGGACTTGAGTAATTGACTTAGCGGTCATGTACCATGGAGCTAAAATAAACTCAATCTCGCCCGAAATCAAGCCGAACGTAAATATCAAAAGATGGCAGCCTCATTGAAGCATGGTCCGGTCTACAGGACACAGTCGTGTCAGGCGCCAGTCTACAACATTTATCACGTGAGACATTTTATCGGCCGCCATATTGATTCGGGTTTACTCGTCTAATTTTGCGTGTATAGGTTTTTTGCAATTTCTACAGTGAGTTTGATTATTGTTATAATACCTTATCGTATTTATTTATACTTACGATAAGTTAGTATTGCGGATACATCGGCAGTGTGACGTCATTACGCTAGGAATGTACAGCTTCAGTTTATAAAAGCACCTGTCTTCCGTCTTCTCTCCGACACTCCCGACAGCTTCAGTTGATAAAAGCATCTTCTTCCGTCTATTAATAGTATTATAGTATTATAATGCCTGGCTTGGAGTTCAAACTAATAATATCTACGACTAGTATTAGTAATATTTACGAGGTTACTTGGTTGCGTGTTGTGTTACGTGCATTCGTGGGCAGGCCCACGAACGAGCACTGCGTGCTATCTCGGTTGCACGGATACTTACACACGTGACACCCGTGACACCGTACATGCCACAGGCACTTGAAGCGTTTCAATAAAATATAATGCTAACTAAATACGAAATCTATTTACTACCAAATTCTTAATGTTTCTATACTCTCTTTCACCTATTATTGCCGACAGTTTCCTGTAAATTCCGTCCAAATCTTATGTGCAACAAACACTGACTGCTGCCATTCCTCAAGCAGCTGCAGTGTGCACACTGACACATATATATAGCAGGTAGGAAAGCGGGATCCCTAAATTCGCTCGACGCTCGCTTGATTTCACACTTTCACAGCACGAATACACATCCAACAGCTTCCATCTTTGTTTCTATGTCAAGAACAGTGTTCACTTGTTATAAAAACATACTGTCTCTGTTCGTAACCGAGCTGTGTCACGCGAAATCACAAAAAGACTGACGAAATTCTCGCGCCCTTCGTGACCTCATTCTTGCGCCGCAACGCTGCAACGTTTTTGCATCGTTCCAATGGCGAGGCTCGTACGGGAGTTGGAAAGCAGTGCGCCGCCTGCGCACCGCCTATAGCCCATAGACTGGCACTCGCTCCCACCTCTCGGCTTAGCTTAGTCACTCGATGGGTAATCGAGGTGGAAGCGAGTCCCAGTCTATATAGCCCTGTACTTGCAGCCATTTACATTACTGGGCAAGGTTCGCGAACACGAGAATTTCGTCAGTCTTTGTGTGATTTCGCGTGACACAGCTCGGTTACGAACAGAGACACTATGTTTTTATAACAAGTGTACACTGTTCTTGACATAGAAACAAAGATGGCAGCTGTTGGATGTGTATTCGTGCTGTGAAAGTATGAAATCAAGCGAGCGTCGAGCGAATTTAGGGATCCCGCATTTAGTTAGCATTATATTTTATTGAAACGCTTCAAGTGCCTGTGGCACATGCCTGTGCAAACGAGATGGTTACATAGTAAAGTTTAAGTTAGTTTGACTTAGTTAAAACGGCCAAGAGTCTATTTAGTCCTCTATATTCAGATCAATCACCCCATTATTGTGCGGTGTGGATTCCCGCCGGGATTAGACAGCATATTCCTTTCTCTAGTCTTGTGCTGTCATACATCCTGTCAGCGACAGCGTCACAGAGGGGTCGCTGCCTGCACAACAACGTCAGGGAGGGAATTACATTCGTTTACCTCCCTCTGTGAGAAGGAGTACTTTAGCATATCGAGTCTTCCTCTGTCATTGTTTAAATAAAGGCTGTGGCTACGGGTACGGCAGCCGTATCTTAATGTCTCGAGGCTGGAGGTGCGGCAGTCAATTCGCTTTCATACTTAACGAGACAAAGATGGCGGCGGGTGGCGCCAGATTTTCGAAATAACGCCTTGGGGAAATAAATTCACGATTTGAGAGTTTAGATGAGCTAGAACTCTACCCCTGACCTAACCATACCCCTAACCTAACCCTAACCCTAACCCTAACCCTAACCCTAACGCCAAAAAGGGGCTTCAACGAACGACGGCTGCCGTACCTCAGCCACTGCATTGTTACCTCTGCCCAACGGAGTTGGAGGAGGTTATGTGATTGCTCTTGTGCGTTCGTGCGTTAGTGTGTTCGCGCGATCGATATTAGCGCGTCGAGTCAGCGAGCCAGCCAGCGAGCGAGCGAGCGGTGAGCCAGCTCGTAACACATACATGTTACATGCTGGCGGAGGTATGCACTCTCCGTGAGTGCCTTCTGTCTAGTTTAAACTGTGAGGGGCAGTACTTCTCGTCCTTTTATTTTGCTTTAGATTCAGGAGTATTTCCTTATCTGAATCGTTATACTTCCCTTTCAGAATTTTAAACACCTCTGTCATATACCCTATGGCGTGTCTGTGTTTAAGGGAGGATTTGTCATGTCTTAAACGTGGTTAGTGTATATGTCTTGCTCTTTCCAGAGAGACCGTTTGGTTATATAATAGGTAATTGATTTTAATCAAGGATATCAGGGGTAGAAATAAGGAGAAAAAAGAGATGGTTCACAGGACCATCTAGTTTGAAATTTATATGGTCCTCCTAAATTTGAGATGGTCCTAAATTTCAAATTGTTCTCTAAAAGTAATGCGGCATGCAAGCGTAAGAAAGAGATTTTACATGGTGATAAAATGGTTTAATTATTCACCTACAATGAATGTATCAAACGATACACTAATTGTTTCTTCACTTTAATAGTATATTGGTTAATAAAGTTGTTTCAGTAGAATTTAGTTGAACCCATAACACTGGAATATAGTATGTATCAATACGAGGAAACTTCAAAGAAAATTACCATAAAATGGGACCAAAATATTCAATGGTCTATCGGACCAGTCACCATTGACTTTGAAAATCTGATGGTCCTCCTGATTATTTGATGGCCCCGGACCATCGGACCATCGCTTATTTCGACCCCTGTATATCATTTTTAATTATAATCCTATGCTTGATATTGTAATAGGCTACTCTGGTAGTTACGGATCAGCAAAGATGGGATCACTCTTCCGGAGTGAGGAGATGACCCTCGCCCAGCTGTTCCTACAGTCAGAGGCAGCCTATACTTGTGTGTCGGAGTTAGGGGACCTAGGTGTTGTCCAGTTCAGAGATGTAAGTGTGTGTTTCTTGAAGAAGTGCCTGAAGCTATCTGTATGCAGCAATTTGCAATCTTTCAAACTGTTACACTGGTTGCTGACTCGCTGTGGGGGTATCAGTTGGTGTCTAGAGCTAGGTAGAGGGTGGGGTGTCAACAGTAAAGGTTGTGCTATGTGTAGCTTTATATTTGCAAGAGAATTCAGAGAGGCTAGAGTTTGAACTACACTTTATTAAGGGGTTTTGTATCGAGGTTGCAGACTGTTATTCTTTGTCATGTGCCAGTCAGTGACCATCCATGCTTTGATAATAGTTACATTCTAGCTTTATGGAAGAGTCTGTTGGTATGTGAATAGCTTACATTGCACATGTTTCATACTTTCTATTTGTGAAAATGTGTAAAATATCCAAATTAATGCTGTTGGTTTTGTTTACAGCTGAACCCGGATGTAAATGCATTCCAACGGAAGTTTGTTAATGAGGTCAGGCGGTGTGAAGAGATGGAGCGAAAGTTGCGTGAGTAATCTTAGTAATTCTAAACTGGCCACGTACACGTACATTTCTTGTGCTTCCTGCGTTAGGCTATGTAACAGTTGATTGTGTGAGATAACAATGAAATCACGCTTTTTGCTTGTTTCTTTATTATTTGAAGGTTTTGATGTAACTTGCCATTTTTCCCCATTACAGATAGCTTTTCTTTCCATGTAAATTTCCATTCTACTTTGTTCTCTATTTACACATGTATAGCACTCATTTCCAATTGTTTCTATAAATTATAGTCCATCTTCACTTTTTTTTCAGTTATAGGCGTAATATTAAGGTCCATGCATTTGTTATATTCATTACCCTCATTATACACTAGTAGTAATACTTGGCATTTTCAAAGTAATGCTTTTCAGGTTGTTATGTATATTGTCTTCTTACTAATAGTTTTATTGCATTTTGCATATATTGATATCAATTTGCCTTAATTCAGGGGCCCGTTGTCAGAAACATCGTAAAGTTAATGCTAATGTTAATGCTACGATAACACTTACGACTAATGTTAATGCTACGAGAGTAGCGTTGACAGAAACACATCGTAGCTACGAGCAAACTCACGATAACAGGAACTTCATAATTTAATGTCACAAGGCTGCTGATTGGATGAGAATCGATCACAAAATTCAAATTCATACACATTTATTGTACATCACAGTAATATATGCATATTATGATGGCTAACCACATATAAATAATATTTGATAAAAAAACGACGCGGTCATGAATTTATTCTGCACAACAAGACAAATTCTCACACTGTAACACGAGACGTGAGATTCGTGGCAAGCGTGGTAAACATTTAAAACAAGAGAACAAATGCCATACACCATTTGTAAATGTATTGTTTTGTTTTATGAAAGGTAGATAATTAATGATTTTGACGTGTTTTTCAAGAAAAAAACACATTTTATTCATTATTATCAAATATAATATCACTATAATTGCAATTCGTAGTGTAAATGTGTTATTTTTAACTTAATATTAAAGTTACGAGAGGGTCTGGGCTCTCGTAATGTTAAGAGGATATTTTCGAGGATTTTTCATTCTCGTAACGTTGCGATGTTTCTGTCAACGGTTACGAGGGGAAGTTAATGTTAAGACTAATGTTAAGACTAATTTTGTTTCTGACAACGGGCCCTAGGTTTCATTGAGAAAGAGATTAAGAAAGACGGTATTCCGATGCTGGATACTGGAGATAATCCAGATGCACCTGCTCCCAGAGAGATGATTGACCTTGAGGTAGAGTCTAAAGCAAAATGCCATTGTCATAAATTTAATATAAGTGTTTTTTAAATTTTGTTATAATTAAATATGAGCAATTTAAGACAGTGTCCTCGATTTTGATTTTGTCCCCCCCCCCCATTTTTTCCTTAGTACACTCGTATGATATATCTTAATGGTTGTAATTGCATGAAATTTTTAAGATAAATGTGGTGAGACTTGTCAGTTCAGTAATATATGAAGCCTACCTCAATGCATTGCTACTGACATCTGTAATGTCCTAGTGTTGGGATGATAAGCTGATATCTTTTAATTTATTCATTACTTATAATAGGTTTGAAATTAATGGACTATTCCCTGTAAAATAGGCAACATTTGAAAAACTGGAAAACGAGATGAAAGAGGTGAACACAAATGCAGAAGCACTTAAGAGGAACTTCCTTGAGTTGACGGAATTGAAGCACATTCTCCGTAAGACGCAGGTCTTCTTTGACGAGGTAGGGTATACTGCTCGTGCATAGTCTAGGCGTGCATTGTAGTTGGGCTACTGGGAAATGCCGCTAGTGTAACGTATCTGCTCACAACAGGCTTCAGTATTGTTTCCCTCTCAAATTTCAAATACTGATTCAAAAGCGGAATATTTATCACATAGCACCTCCTTGAAATGTTAATGTTATGAACGTTATTAACTTTACAACTTCAAATTGCCTTGAATTTATCAATTAACTAAAAAAAGTGCTGTACTTAAAGTTCTCATTTTAGTGTATTTTATATCTTTAAAGCTGTAATAAGCCGTAATTAGTGATTGTCTAAATTACCCTATGTTGTCCAGGCGTACAGTTATCATGGCGTAATCCTATCCAATTTACTCGGGTTCATAAAAAATGCAAAGTCGCCTTCCCATGACCAATTATAGATAGGCAAATTATGATTACTGCATATACCTCTGTATGTGGACAGAGTGAGTAGTACAATGTCACGTGTATAAAGCAGATCCATGTAGTATTATATCACATTGAAGACAGACAGGAGAGTGAGACATGAGTAGTTTACTGTGATGGCATTCGCACCCATTCAAACAAAGTTCTTACATTGATCAGCGTTGGCAATACGTGAGTAATGGTGAACGTTGCTATATGATGCAAAAACGTGAAGCATGTGCTAATGAATCTGTTTGTCTGGTGTTTCTTGGCACCACACTTTACATTATAAACAAGTAGAACAGTTGTGCAGGATTTAGGGGTGTTTCTTGGCACCACACTTTACATAAACAAGTAGAACAATTGTGCAGGATTTAGGGGTGTACCGGTGGTACATTTTTGGCCTTTCTACTTCTTGGCCATTCTTGGCCATTCTTGGCCATTCTTGGTTATCAATGAAATCTCTAATCAATGAAGTGGAAGCAATTTTATTGTAATGTTGTGTAAGTGCAAATGCTTGGCAATTATTAGCTGGTAAATTCTGATTAGATTCAGATGCCCATACTTTTTCACACTGAATAAATAAGTGTGTTGTAAACTTGTAATATCAACAAATGGCTTATTCTGGCTTTAGAGCAGGAAATTTGTTTGAAATTGAGGCAAGCTAGACTTATCTGTGGGCTGGTTAAAAAGCAGCTCATCTAAAAGAAAGAGACATCTAGCTAGTACAATGAGAACTACCCTTCCCCATAACTTATCTTGCACATGTTTCAATTAACAAATATCATTGTTCTGCTCATGTTGAGTGTGCTGAAGTACTTTCAAAACCTTCCTTATAATTTTTTTTATTTGAAAGGAGTTGAATCAGGTCTGTATCTTTGGCAGTCAGGGGACTGTCTTTGCATGCAACATTTTAACTGTAAACGTTTATGGCAGTTGCATACATCAAGCATGGCTGGAATATGTTGAGAGCAGGTGGTGGGGTCAAGAGACGGTAGGCCTACAATTGAAAAGCGAAAAGTCAGCTCGGCTTTTGTGTAAAGGTGCCAGCGGGTGCACGCATGTGTGTTAAGGCTTTGCTATTTCTTCTATCTGTTCGCCAATAGTGCGAAAATGTTTTTTTAAACGTCAACCTCTTACTTTGCTGATTGATAGATGTTGTTTCATGGGATACTGTAATTGGTTTGTATCTAAATCTTTAAAAAGCTCCAGTAATTCTAGTTCGAGACCATCATGTATACAGGGAGCTTTCCACTCATTTGCTCGTATTTACGTAATAAATGTTCACAAAAAAGTGGAGTAGATTGGCAAGTACATTTTGTGCCAAACAGTGGTTTACAGTGCTGCTTAAATGTTTATTACTAATACTTGCTGGCATTCATTTCAAAGGCTTTTGTAGGTAGTAGTTGCGATAAGCAAATGCTTTGGGAAGTAAGCCAAGGCCAAAACAAAATATATGTGTGGTTACCGTTACATGCCGAAAAAAATAGGGTAGGTAGTTAGGGAAAACATTTTATTTTCTTGAAATATTTTATTTACGAACCATGTCCGAAGGATGTGCGTTGTGCCTTTTGAAGCAGGAACTGTACAATTCATTTTTTTTTTACTTTAAAGAAAATTTACAATAAAATGTTTAGGATCGCTGGGAATAAATAGGGTGGGTCAGGAAATCGTAACCACACCTATATTTTGTTTTGGCCTAATAATTTTAATTGCTTAACATAGAACAGTTTCGTATATAGAAAACATGGGTGCAGGTGACATCAATTCTAGTAATCACTGTTCTGAATATGGCAACTGAACTAATTCTAACCATCTACATTTCAGAGGTTTGTAAGCGCTTGCTAAATAACTTGCTGGCGGCTTGGTTAACATTCATGGTCTATTCCGCGATTGCCCATGCGATTCCCATCGAGCATGCACCAACCTTACTAACCTCCAACTTCCGCTTCACGTTCACTCATTGCATGCAAGTGTTTCTTTGTCTCTACTCTAGTCATTGTGTGTGTCGGCACTTACATGTTACTGCAGTGCCTTGTGTATGCTGTAGTGTAAAACACCTGGCACGTGGTCTTTCTGCCGTTAAATGTTTTTGAAATCTGTCTAGTGCTCAGTGTGTTTGTGCATGGCTTTATGTTCCCTAAGGTTTGGTAAGTGTTTTGCATAGTGCATGTACAGATTATAATCATGGTCCACACATTTAATTATAAGAATTAAAATCAATGATTTTTTCGTAATAAGTAACAATATATTTTTATTAGTGCCCTACCTGACATATTTCCTAAGTTTAATAAGCTTTGAATTACAAATAATTATAATTGACGTGTATTTGGTGAAACATTTTCATTGTTACCGTGCATTTGTTGTTCATCTAAAGAATGACCTGACTAAGTTGTTGAATTTGTTAGACATTCTGTGCATAGCTGTGTGTCTATCATATGTGTGGGTGTGTGCGTGCGTGCGTTCATGTGTGTGGAGGTTTGTTAATTTTAGTTCTTTTGGTGTTTATTCATTTACTAACTGCGTGGTTGGCCTTCATTCCGTCTAGAGTTGATTCACGTTGGTATCTTGAATTGTTTAGAACGTAGCTTTGCCGACGTTTGTGGGCGTGGCAACAAAGCAGACTTAGGTTTCAAACACGTACAAGAACTTTACCACCCATGTGCAGTCAGTACACATGGCCGGTTTCACTATAGTTTAGAACCTATTAGCTTTTAAATACACTGTGAGCAAAAGGTGTTTGTGTTTGAAAACAGTCTATTCAAAAACTAATAGTGATAGCTTATATTAGCAGTAGCTCATTAATTTAGCATACAGGTTGTTGTGTGCAACCAGTTGTACCACGTGCCTCACTGGAATGCAGTACTTAGCTGTTCGTGTGCTGGTCGTCTCTAGTGCATGGACATTGCAAGCAGATTTGCGTGATTTGCACGATTTGAGAATACACCAATGCAAGCATTCTCCCATGCATTTGCACTACGCTTGAAATTAACAACACGTTATTTGCTTGCAATTTGTGTTACTGAATTCCACTGCAACTATGTGCTACGAGTATCTACGAGTGGAAGCAATGATTTTCTACCGTAATTCACAGTGTAATGTGTCAGATTTGCAGCAAATGCAATTGCAGGTCCTGTTGCAGCAATTGTGTGCAATTTGTCCCTACTAGATTTTTAGACAACAGCTTCATATTGGCATGGCCTGGTTAACGGAATTGGTTACCAAGCTAAATAATATATTATTAGAAAATATTTAAAACAAACTGTGTTAAACTATTTAATCACGAATTTATTTTGTTGGTAATTGCAAATTTTTATTAGGTTTCACTTCATTTTTAATGTGATTACCTCTCTTTTGGTGCTACTGGTTTCAAATTCTAAGATGAGACTGCATGTGAGTCACCTAGCGTATCATGCCTGTTGTTTTAAATGTAAAGGCACATTTAAGGTAAAAATGATCCATATCAAAACTATTCTGCTGATCAATTCAAAATAAAGCTGTTGGCACACACACACACACACACACAACATTGCGAGAATGCACGGGAGCAGTTATTAGTATAGTAAGTCCACAAATTCAATGTCAACGTTTCATTGTCGTGGGCAGAAAACTGGTATCTTTAATCGTAACTCCTAACAATCCCATTAATATTTTAAGTATAAATGCGACAGTTGTTATTCTGTCTGGGAGTATATGCGTCTAAACTGATATCTCTCTATATCATCATGCAGAGAGAGTGCAACTTGTGCATTTGCTGTGTGCCATCTTTAAATAAGCCTATAAGTTCATTGCTTCTTAGGCTTTTAATAGTGCTGTCTACCAATGATCGAGATATCTTTCTCCTCTAGTCAACTTATTGTTATGTAATCATAGTTTTTAAAAACCCATTTAAATATTTTAAAAACATTAGTATACATACATTAATTACAATATCTGATACAATTCACGTCTTTTTCTGCAGAAATGTTCTTACAAGTACAGTGTTCACAAAAAATAGTTTATAAACAGCAGGTAAAACGATTGTTTGCCAAATTAGTGGTGGTTTTCCCATCTATATTTTACATTACTATTACAGTGATAGTATTTCTACATGATCACTTGCACAATAACTATTATAGGTACGATGCGTTTCTCACATGCCTATATCCGATTAGTATCTTCAGTTATATTGTAATTTTTTATTGTTTTATAAGTCATCTTCTAGCCACCTAATTTATATTAAGATTGTGAATGTGAAATGCATGTTTTGCTGCATGTCGTAAGAATTTTCATTTAGATGTTTCAACTGAACATGAGTCGTGAGTGAGTGGGTTGTGCAATTAGCAATGCATTTTTTCCATTTGCTAACAGTACTTGGAAATGTGGCCAAGTTGGCTATATTGCGCTACTGACTAGCCCTCACACTCCCTCGTGGATGCTAGGTTAGTTTGCTGTGTTGCCCCAGAAAATTGTTGCTTCACGCTCATACAGCATTTTGCAGGTAGTTGTCGTTCGTAGTGCTTGTAAATAGGAATTATGTTGAGTTTCTTTCTGTCGACCCCGCTCGGCTTTCCCCCTTCCGTCCGTCCCTCCGTCGTCATGGTGACCATGCTTTGTTTACCAGGCCGCCTTCCTTCAATCTGCCCAGATGCATGACCAGCCGAAGTCCGAGGAAGCACAGAACTTGCTAGGGGAGGAGGCTACACGTGCCGGTGGTCAGCCCTTGAAACTGGGGTATGCGCGTCACTCGCTGATTGTTTAGAACCCGATTGTTCCTTAGCTGCACAGTGAAAGCGCAGGGTTAATAGATTGCGACTCCCCGAGTGATTCCAATAATACCAATAATTTGGCTTTCTCTAACCTTGCATACACGATAGTTTTCATGGCGTAATACATGGGACTGATGGTACGCTTGTATCAGCTGGTTATTTATATTTAAGCTCATGGTGTGGGGTTCAGTGTAGTGACAGTCGATCATTCAATCCCGTTTACATTTGCTGCCAAGTCAATGCCATGCCACATGAACTGCCATGCAACATTAATTTTATGCATTACCAACGGTCTGGTTTACCTTGACTGAATTACTAGCTTAAGGATACTCTCAAGGTTTTAGGAAAAATTTTACCGATTTTTAATTTTCAACTTTATTCGATGGCTAACACTATGTGCCACCTGTGTACGTGCTCATTTCTCCATATAACGGTACATGTGAACTGTCAGAGCGTTTTGCTTGCTCGCGTACATGTGTAGTGAGCCGCGGCTGACGTCATGATGACATCAGACACATGATACAACCAGCATTATCACTATATTCACTGAGCCAGTATTCATCAACATCAACCCTGCTACAGCTGTACTACTACCCTGATCCAACAAGTAGCCCACAAGAGCCCAAAATAGTTCTCACACCTTGCAACACACCTTGCATAAGGAGTGCATTTGTTGACAGTGACATCAGGCAATGGTCGGGTTCGCGCCATTTTGCATCAAATTGCGTTGGTCACCTCGTAATTTCTCAGAATTTCTCAAGGTGCATGGAACATTTTACCAATTTAGTGGTGTCAGTTAGTCATGGATATGTCGCAGTAAGTACTAACAGTAGATATTTCACATACGTTCACCCATTTTTCACACAGGCGGTCGATCATTGTGAAAAATAGAAAAACGCTGATTCTCCGTTCCAATTTCTGACTTAGTAGTCGACGTATAAATGGATATTTCTCTGTGATTACAACTCGGAATAATTTAATTTTACACTCGTTTTAATGGTAACATATTGCTGTAAAAAAGTGTGTCAGGGATTGTTATTAAGTGCCGTATTTTATGAGTTATGTCTCTTTATTCGCAAAAATTTTAAATTCAAACGTGCGACTTGAATTTTAGGCAGTTTTTTCATTTTTCTCAGTAAATATGAAACTTAAAGAAAAATCCTGATGCGCTATTTTGGTACATATTGTGCTTAACATGTGGCGAAAATTTTGTATCCTCACTCTTTCTGGTAATTGAGAAATATCCAAAATACCATTTTTACATAAAAATTCAAAATTTGTGTGGTAACATAATTAGGTGCTGGAAATTTCATGAAATTTTTTGCCTTTAGCATAGAGATATATCTCCTCTATAAATAAAATAAATGATTGATTCGATTCATTCGTCAATAAACGTTTAATCTTCATTAGAGCAATACCCGGGCAAAAGGTTGAGAGTATCCTTAAAAACAATTTAGCAGTTCACTCTGTTTGCTTGTAAGTCAACCAAACATGTGAGATTCCATATTAACTTCCTGGGGTTGTTAAATTTACTTACCCATGATGCTGATATTCACTTTCTAGTAAAATCTAGATTAACAAATCTCTTGCCAAAACTGAAAGAACTACATTTTTCTGCTTTATTATCACACACGCTGTACCAGACCTCATGAGTCGAACAAAATGCGGGTGGGTGGAATCGCGGACGCTAACCATCGTGACGACCGATTTCTCCCGACCTTCCCTGTGCAGTTACGGAACAGTTGACGTGGCTAGCTTACAGATAGCACACCACTCATGTAGATCGGTTCAGACAGGGTCTTGGTGAGTCGTGACTTGGTCCGAGATATTGGACACGGCACTAATGTTACTACAGCCAGTAACTATCGTGGGTGACACAACACATTGGATTTGCTCGCTATTCCGTGAGGTCACGTGTGTGGTGCAAGCGAAACGTTGCTCGGGTTTGACCGCTTACGTGTAAGCGTCCTGCGTCTGTTGCATTCCTACTTGAATGACTGCTGCCTCTCTCTGTGTGATGGTGCTTGCTATGCAGTTCGGCTTTCAGTGCTCTGTGGTCATTTGTCTTGTTACTGCTGTGGGGCGACAGTTGTTTGTTGTCCACGCGAGCAGTAGCCAGCGTCAGCTATGCCGCACGACGTTTCCGTCACCAAAAAATGAGTAGATTGTTTTGGTCTTGGCCTTGATTGTTACGTGATGAAACGAAAAGTTTGTATGCGATGCATGTGTTGGTTTACTAGAGCTAGAGCTATATCACTATGTGGATAAAGCTTACATTGTTCATGTTTGATAACTAGGCTTGTGAGGACATTTTCAAAAGAAATTTACACTAGTAGTAGTAGGTCAGGGGCTGGTTATAATTTTCCAGCATAATATGACAGATCTAATTTCATCTAATTGAAAGTCCATCGGAACAGATAAAAACATTGAAATATACTAGACAATAAATGCACTGTAAACTTATATGGGACAGACATGTGTTGAATGTAGTCTCAGCAGTCTTAGTTAAAATTTGTCTTTTACGAATGAAGACCTCCACTGTATCTGTTCTGGCTTCACTAAAAAACTAATTTTTGTGGTCGTGTTGTATTAACTCTTGCTGAAAACTGATAACAGTTAACACTGTGGCAATCTCTTCCTAATGTTGGTGGTAGCTCACTGCTCTTTTCACGCCTATGACAATTCAATACTGTGGGAACTGCTATATCTGCTTCTGTCATTGCATTGAACCTCTTCTTGTGATCATGAATGGTTTGGTTATCAACACAGATACATTGACCAGCTTGATTGCCTCATGAAGTCTGTGTATGGCATTGCCTTGGCGTAACGTCTGTTATGCTTCTACTTCTGTTTTTGCTTGTTTTTGTTACTTCATCTCGCACTCATCTGCTGTGTCTAATCTCACTCATTGTAATTTGCCTTGTTTTAATGGGGAAACTATGAGATGATATTAAGTGTCCAGTGGTAGTTCTAGAGTGTGTGAAGTCGTGTGCCTGTCACTAACAGTACGAACACAAGAGAGGTAGGTAGGTACACACCTGGACAAAGCATGGTCTTTCCTTCCGGATCAGCAGCGGAAAAAAATGAAATGAATCTGATGCTGCTATGCCTTTCCTCATCTCGGAAGAGATAACCAAGGAAGGGGCTTAGCGAACATTTAGGTGCGAAGCTCTGAACCAGGAGGGACTGGTCCAGCTTTGTATTGTGTGATTTCATAATGGTTCAGATGGGCGTTGCCCAGTCGGATGAGGATGTGAGTTTGGCCAGCAGTACCTTGCACCTGGTTGCAGGCTCCCCATCGACCGCTCACGCCACCCCGGCTGACCTGCAGTTGAGGTAACGTATCAGCCACGTGGTTTTGGTGGTAGTACGTGCGTAGATGCTGATAATGTGGGTGCTCCAGACCTCGCTCTTGTTGTTTTGCAGCATCGATTTGATTTAAATTGCCGTGACTTTATACATTGGAAAATAGTTTGACACGTTGCATTCCGGTTGTTATTACTCATGTGTGTTGTACCATTTTGAAATATGCCTGGTTTCTAGTACTTAGCGTGGCATTACAGGTAAAGTATTTTCAAATCAATATTTTCTCTACTGTGTCTATTTTTAGCTCATCTGACATAGTCAGATGCAGCTTGTAGAATCGCATGATCGTCCGTCCGTCCGTCCGTACGTCCGTCCGTCCGTCCGTCCGTCCGTCCGTCCGTCCGTC